CTAGTAGCGTTTTACTAACAAGTTGCTACTTTATAAAAAGCCAATAAAGTTTATTTATTAAGTTTTCAATGTCGGAAAATTTAACAAAAAAACAACTAAATATATCTGTTTAAAAAGTTAACATTTAACATCAGTACTTATTAGAATGTAAAATTATTTTTATTTGAAATTGTATTAAAAAAATAACTTTTTTTTCCAACATGTGACAGCGGTTTTGCATAATCTCAGAGCATCAACGTTTTCTCAGAATTATCACTTCTCCTAAGAAAACTAAGAGACAAAAAAATTAATGTAATAAATCTTTTGTGTAAAGGAACCTATAACAAACTTTAAGCTTGTGACTCTATTCTACTTTTAAAAGGGCGCAGCTTGGGAGGTTTAGTACCAGATGTTTGACAAACAGCTTGATAGAGTTCCAACAACAAATTTATAATAGGTCAGAATTAATTTTTTTGTCAAAATACAGTGATTTTTACTAATTATAGGAAATATAAAATTATTTTAAAAATATTAATAGCATTAAAACATTAATACTAATTTTCAACTTGTAAATTAGGTGAAAAAAGCAAGGAAAATGTTTCTTAACTCTAATCTTTTGCCGCTCCAACCCAAACCCTTAGTTAATGTAGCAACATTCATTTGCTCTCTTTTCTTTAATCAGTTGATTTATGAAGCCCCCAAGCCCCTAAATTCTCTTTTCCGCATTATATTTCCGCATTTTATTTCCGCATTTTACCTGTTATAAGTTTCTACATTTCTACATATCATTTCCCCCTATTTTTCCGATGTCCAATTTAAGCTGACAATGAAGAAAAGTATAAATTATAAAAGTTCTTAAGGTGGTGAAACTGTGCAGAATGCAACTCTGGCAGCAAACAAGGGTGATTCTAAGGGTGTGTGTAAGAGGGAGGGGGTGTTCAGGGTTTTTTACAATAACTAATTAAAGAATATAATGATAATTTTGGTACACTGTATGTTCCTTCAGAAAATATTTAAGATGATTAAGGAGTTATAATAGAATAGCTGGAGGGAGAACGAAATCAAAAACGGTTTAAAGCCGTGGTACATTCTTAGTAGTAAAATTATTCCAGCAGCGAGTCAAAAAGGCGTCTCTGCGTTGAAAAGAGCAAACTTTGAAATGTAGTTTGTAACCTACTTTCTTAATTACTTACTTAAAAGTTGACTTGATAAGTTTTTAACAACTTTTCCAGCTATTATTGGTGCTCGTAAAATGAGAAGTAATTGCTCGCAGTTTTTGAGTTATAGCTTTTTTATTCACGGGTTTTTCTCATTTGGGAGCAATCGCTCAACACTTTGAGCTCATAAATAAAAGTTTTTGCGCAAAAAAGAGCAATAATTCAAAAATTTTATTCACGTAAAGTTGAGCAATTGTTTTAAAAACGTTGAGTAAAAGTAAAATTTGGGCGATTTTGCTCAAATTTTTATTTACGTAAAGCTGAGCAATTACTCCCAAAACGTTTGATAAAAGCAATTGCTCTTACTTATTCACCCAGTTTATTGTGCATAATTCTCCAAGTATCTTAAGAATGTTAAAAGTATTGACATTGGTCTGAAATTAAATATTTCACTTGTATCTCCTGATTTTAGTGTAGTTTTACTATAGCAGTTTTCAGGAAAAAGACCTTTTTTTAGAAAGAGTTTAAAAATTTTAAATGAAGGAATTTTAAGATCATTGTTGCAGTTTATTACTATGTTGTTATTGACATTTTGGGTCCGGTTGCCTTGTTTCTTTTTAGGCTTTAAAAAGCTTTCCGAATTCTAACATGGTTAGTTTTTTGTTATTTAAATCATATTTATTACAACAAAAATATTTATCAAAGATTTATTTACATAAGGAATTTTAGTTTATTCAAGTTTAGATCCTTTATTAACAAAAAAGTTGTTAACTCGTTTGTAATGTCGTTTTCATTATCAATTGATTTGTGATTGGTTTTTATAGTTTTAGGAAAGCATTGTTTGTTAATTTTTGGTTTACCAATAAATAACAAACAATTAACAAACAATTATTTCATTTAATAACTGTCATGTTTTTCTGGAACCTGTTTGATACTTTTTGAGCAGTTTAAATGGCATAATAAACCGCTCATAAAAAACTACAAAAGCTAGTTAGTATAATACTAACTAGCTTTTGTAGTTTTTTTTTTCTCAAATAAATTTGCATAATTCTTGTATACTAACTTTGTTTCATTGCATTTTTTTAAAAGTACTTTATATATAGTTGTTATTCCCGCTTTTTAAGACTTTTACTTAGCCAAGGTAAATTTATGTCTTTAAGTTTAATTGTTTTTCTTACTTTGGGAAAGTATTTTTCATAAAAAAAATTTAAAAAAAAATTGATAAACTTGTTATACATTAAATTGGTATCATTTGAGGATTCTAAACCTGACCAGTCAATATTTGCTTTAGTAATTTACTATTACAAAAAACTTATTATTATTAAAAATTTACTAATAATTTTTATTAAACCTGACCCAAAGTAAAATGCCGTTTTTGTGATTGTTATTTTTCGGCTTATTTTAATTTTGTTTGAGGTATTAGTTCAAATAAATATTGGAAAGTGATGTTTTAATTACTCTTTTTTTAGCAAAATTTCAAATGAGAATTTATTAGTATATTTACTATTATTCAGGAGGCTGAATAAATGCAAATTTCATAAGTGCGAACTGGCATAAGTGGAAAGCAGTTGCAAAAAACTGGTACAATACGAACTGGTATAAATACGAGTAAGTATAAGAATTATCAAATTTTGGCATAAATGCGCCAAAAGAGTTAACAAACGTAGGTACAAGTGCAAACTGTCATTAATGCGAACTAGCATAAGTGTGAATTGCCATTTTTTACTTATGTCAATTCGCATTTACGTCAAAAACAAGTGTTAACAAATTTGTTTGGCGTTCTTATGCCAATTCGTATTAATGCCAATTCAAATTTTAGCCAGTTTTTGCAACTGTTTTACACTTATGCCAGTTCGCACTTATGCCAATTCTCGCTTATGCCTATGCTTGCAAATTCTTTTGGCGTATTTATTTTAGTTTGCGCTTATGCCAGTTTGCACTTATGCAAATTTGCATCTACGCCAGCTCGCACCTACGCCATACTCACTTATGCCAGTTCGCACTGAAATCTGCGCTTATTTATTCGTCCCCTAATAATGTTGCTGAATTTGAAGAGGAATTACACCAAATCGGAATAAATCATTTCAAAAAATTTTTTTATTATTATTGTCATAATTTAGAGCGTTAAAGTTAAAATCCCTTTGTGCAAATAAACTTTTTTTTATTGGAAGTTTTTCAAAATAATATTTTGACGATGATTTGAAAACACTTCTTTTGACGTATGTGGTGGTTTATAACAGCATGATTTTTAGGGGATTTTTAGAGTCGTTGTTAATGATTTCCATAGAAACAAAATCCCTGTAGTAATCAAATATGCATAGATAGCACTATGCTTCAGAAAGATAAAAAAACGGCAAAAACTTAATAAATATTCAAGCGCAGCTTTGACGCGTACAATGTGCGCCTCTCTTTATATTAATGCCGAACTTAATAGTAGAAGTTATAGTAGTAGTAGATTTAGTAATAGTAGCGCTCTTTCGAGCGTGTTTGACAGGAGACTCCTGGCAGCCATTGCAACCTTTATCAATATTCAGGAAAATACAAATTTGTTGTTAAGTTTTTCAATTATTTACACAGAAAATAAAAGTCAAAATAAAAGAAAAAGATATGTATTTGCAGTGTTATATTATAGTACGTAATCATTAAGAGATTTTGATGATTTTGCCAAACTGTGGACAACTTCATTGTAATTAATTTTTATATCATTCTCAACAATCATTAAAATAAGTGCTTCGAAGTGCCACAAACAAAAGCAATTTATCACAATTCGAAAAAACTTAAGCATAATGCCATTTTATATGCAGCATACATATTGTATTTTATATGCAGCATACATATTGTATTTTATATACAGCATACATATTGTATTTTATATGCAGCACTCATATTAGAATATGCAGAACAATGAAAATTGCAGCGATGGAGAAAACGAAGAACGCAATTTAAACATCATTTTGGATGAGCCTTCCTCTCATTTAGTTTGATCAGCTTTACCAACTAATGGAAAATTAATTGCAAATGATGTCATCTCTGTGCACAGTATTTCACTCTGTATACCAGCAAAGTTGGCTAAATCATTAAAAATATAGTCGTCAATATGGTCACACAAAGATGGAAAGTTTTGAGAATCCATTCAAGCAATATGCATTAAGATACCAACATTATTTCCTTTGAAACGATCTTTTATTGCTGTAGTGGCAGCATCTACAACAACATAGAATACATTAACCTTAAACCGCCTTCCTAGTGGGAAAAAAGACATCTTTAGACGAATAAAAGGCGTCTTTTTTATGACTTGTTATGTCTTTTTGTAATCAACCAAAATAAAGACGTGGAAATACGTCTTTTAAAAAGACGTCTTCAGAAAAGAGGTCGAAAAGACTTCAATCGGTTGTTAATAAGGAAATCATTATTTTCTTAAGCAAATTAAAAATAATTATTGCCAGTAGAACCTAACAAAAATGAGTTTTAACCCACAGTATCGTAATTACGATATCTTTGTTATGTTTTGGCCCGTTTTTTGTTTACAAAATACTTTTATATAACTTTTATGTAAAACATTTTTGCATAGGAAGTTTAATTAAAAATTAACTTTTTTCGGTAAGCGGGTTTATTTAATAATTTATGTAATAAAATAATATATTATGTAAAATATACATAATATAAATGCATATATGTATTATAGTATATATATATATATATATATATATATATATATATATATATATATATATATATATATATATATATATATATATATATATATATATATATATATATATATATATATATATATATATATATACTGAAATAAATATACAATTGCAGCTGCTTAGCTAAAAAATTTTAATCGGAAGAGGCAAAAGTGGATGGCGTGGTGCCAGTAAGATGGTATTGATATGATCTAGTCTCAATTAAGTTAGTCGCAGGTAAGTGTTTTAAAAAAGTTTGACCATTTATTTTTAGACTAATTTTTTAATGTATTGTGCTTGAAGAACGTTGTTTATTACATATTAAATTAACATATTTATTTTCCGACGAAAAATAAAACCTGTAACCTTCTCTCTATATTTACCTGTTCAAGCGCCAGTGAAACGAACGATAGAAAAAAAGAAGCATTCAGTAGGCTTGCAATTTTTTTTTATATATATATTTTTAAATGATCTGAATAATTTTGTTGTTTTTATTTAGTTGAAGGATGAAATTGTTTATAACAAAGATTGGCTCTTCAATTTTTATGTTAAATATGTTATTTCCTTGTTAACTGTTGTCTATCATTAATAAAGCAATTATAAAAATACACATAATGACAACATAATGACAACAGATTTATCTTGAGAAATGTTCGCAAAATTTTTGGTTTGGATACAAAAAACCAAGTGAAAATAATACTGGAAAGGTACACTTTCTTATATCTAAACATCATTGGAGCTTTCTAGTCTTCATTTTTGTTTATGTGTATTTCATCTGTGCTGCTAACGATATCGCCAGTTTTTATGATTTTTTGTTGTTAAGTAAAGCATCCTTATGTTTCAGGCAAAAATAGAGCTAAATAATTTTTTCTAGTTTAAATGAATAACAACTCTCAAGGTGTATTAGCTGAATTATCTTTTTGTTTTGATAATCTTTAGTCAATAATGAATTTTTAAATTGTTATGAGTCTACAACAGTTAATTTCAGCGAAATTCAATTAAAAAATCATGTTATAGAAGACAGAAAAATATCAATATCTGTTTTCAATAACTTGGTTTTCATAGCAAATCTGAGAGGTGCAAATGTTTAGCTTGATTTAAGTACTACATAATAAAACACATCGTTTTACAGTCATTTTGATTGTTGTAAATTTATTTGGCACACTCATTTTTATATATTTTTAGACTGTTTATCGTTTAACTCCTGTCCCAATCTAACCTAGTGGGTTCAAAAAGAAGGGACCGCGCTGGAAACGTGAGTGGATTATAAGGATCAGCCCTTTTTGAATTATTAGTCGGTGAGTATAATGTGTTCCACTCAGCTAATCAAGTTTCGTTTGCTTTTTTTGTATTACATTTAAGCAATAGACTGTTTTTTATGTTCACTCGTTTTTTAGAAGTGGTAACCAGCTAGAAGTCGTAACCTGCTCGGATGAAAGGATTTCTCGACTTGAAATTGTTAATTTTATTCAACAACGCCAAGAAACAGAGCTAACTCAAGAAACACAAAAGAAAGAGAAATATGAAAAAATATTCTGTTGAACAATACTATTGTTTTATTTATAAATTGTTCTCCTATATTTAAACATATGAAAGATATAGAAAATGCTTTTTCTTTTATATTGACATCTAAAAGAGGTTTTTTTCTCGGCATCGGAAGAGCTTTTTGTCATATTTTGTATGAAGAGCTATTATCATTTTCATTTGAAAAAAATAGCTTTTCATATAAGAAAAGTAGAAATACTATAGTGTATAGGATACTATAGTATCCTAATAAGAATGGCAAAAAAGTCGTTCCGACCATCGAGAAAAAACACTTTTTTAGATTTGCATATTCGACTAAAAAAAGGCGTCTTAAAAACGCATTTTTTATGTCTTTTCATGACAAGATTAAGATAAAAAAAAACGTCTTTTCGATGTCGAAAAAAGATGTCTATTAGATTTGTATAATCGATTAAAAAAAGACGTCTTAAAGACATCGTAAATAAGACTTTTAAAGACGTTTTTTCGACGTCTTTTTTCCCACTGGGTTACTGGGTCCTAAAAAAAATTTTGAATCATGGCTTGAGACAACTTGAATTCCAAACTTTCCAAACTCTTAAACTTTTTTAATAATAGGTTTCTTGATAAGTTTTTCAATAGTAATAATAATTCTGTTAACAGTTGGTTTAAAAAAGTAATCAATGAACCTCAACCTTTCATGCCATTTTTATTCCTGCTCTTTCTACTAACTTCTTTAAGATAAGATGATATTTGCTGATAACATCACAAGTGTCAGAAAAGTACGGCACTTTATTTCAGGAGCCTTGTTCACATTAACATCCACAACATAAGCTTATTCATATTTACCCCGATAAGCAGTGCCATGCTTTCCAATAAACAAAATGATGTCAATTGAGCAGCCGTGGTGCAGTGGTTAGGCTCAGAACTCAGAGGTCCGGGGTTCAACGCCGGCTCTAGCCCAATAAGCGACATAGGTAAGGAAGGAGGCGTGACCTTCTAATTAAATGCTCTTCCGCGTTACACCGTGATAAGACCGTAAGGACTTCTGGGAGCACCTAAATAACCTTAAAAAAAAAAAAATTACTGTAATATCTTAAAAAAGGCGTTCATGTTCCACTTTGTTATTTACTGTTAAACAGGTGATCAAGTCCTTTCTTATTCTCAGCTGCAAAGTGGAGTATGATTTCTTTGGACTATCATCATTAGACATTATATCTCTGTTTATTTATCATTATATCTCTGTTATATACAAATTTCTCATTAAAGTCCGACACATTTGATGGCTTTAATGGATGCAATTTCATGAAAAAAGATTTTTCATTCACGGAAGAAGTCTTTGACAAAATAAAAGGATTCATACCTGTTGGTTTTACTTCTTCAATCTATTTTTTTTAAAACAATTTTGTCTGTTTTTGGTCTTTTGCAGCATTGACCAGTTAGAAGTTACTATTTTCAGCTTTCTTCTGTGCACCAGACTTTTTTTTTTTTTTACATCTATTACTGTCAACTACCTATAAAATTTATGAAAAATTTATTTATCAGAATTCAAATAAAGATTATATTAACTTAAATTATAATATATTAAGAACAAATTTTATACAATATTATATAATATATACCAAAATTAAAAATGATAACCTTGAGCTACAAGCAGCGCAATGTTATCTTTTTAAGGAATCAAAACATAAACGTGGTAGCTACATGCAGCGACCACGTTTATGTTTTGATTTCTTATCAAAACATAATCCAAATACGATTTGCATTTTATTGTTTATAGAACATAGCCATTAACACAAAATTTTAAATCAAAGACTTTATGTTATCAGTGGCGGAACAACTATACCGCAAAATACCGGGGCCCAGAGCTGTAGGGAGCTCATACTTTTTGAAGGAACTGTAGTGTTTAAAAATTATTATCAATTCTAAAATTTTCAATCCTGTATTAAAGTAACATCTAACCAAAAATTGAAATAAATAAATTGTAAAACAACATCAAACTGATCAAAAACAGTAATAACAAAAATGTAAAAAAAACCACCTCTTTGTGGTGGGGGCCTAAAAACATTTTGCGTGGAGAGGGGGCAAAACTTGAAGTTCCGCCACTGTATTTATATATTTTATTTTATTTTGATATAAATTTTTTTAAATTACATAAAAATATTTTATAAAAAATATTTTTTTTTTTTCAAAATGAGAAACTTTTTAGATTAACCCATTATACCGTGCTGCCATGGCGTTAGTGCGGCCGTGGCGTAGTGGATATATCGCTTGATTTCTAAGCAGGAGATCCAGGTTCGAAACGAGCTCTCGACATATTTTCGCGTCACGGCAAGGAAGGAGGCGTGAACTTTCTGGCTAAATGCACTTCCGCGGTGCTCTATGACAAGACCGTTAGGTCTTCTTGGGGCATCTAAATAACAAAAAAATAAAAAATAAAAAATACCCTATTTAAAACGGAACTCCAATTGTATTTCAATACATATTTTTTATAAATATATTTAAGTCTTTTATTTATACATAAAGTATATAACGTTTATCAAGAAATAATAATATTTAAAATAATTATATCTCCAGCCCCATTAAATATTTCTGAGCTTCTCTGGTTGGGAAGCGCTGGTTTATTATAAGCTAGTACTTATTATTATTGTTATTATTATTATTATTATTATTATTATTATTATTATTATTATTATTATTATTATTATTATTATTATTATGTAATGAAAGTAAAAAGAAACAAATTTATAAAATGTTCAACTATGTTTTGTAATAACTTTGTAAATTTTTTACAAAGCTAATACAAAACAAAAATAATTGTATTTGTATTCAAAATATATATGCAAATTTTTTTTTTTTTTTTTGCAAAATATCTTTTGAAAAATTGAAAAACTAAAACATCAATAACTCCTTGATAAAACATAATGCCAAATAAAAATTGGTTCGCAAAGTAGATATGTTTAATATTTAAAATAACAAAAACCAAAACTTTTTTTCATCAGTCAGATTTTTTCTAGAACTATAGTTGTCAATGGCCTTTTATATTGTTATACACAAGTGCGTTTTGTGGATCTAAAAAAAAACTTTATTTTATTGTTTTGAGAGATAAAAGTTTATGATTTTCAGATTCAGCAGGTTTTAAACTCCTTTGGTACCAAGTTTTAGCTTCGCAACATTACTACAAGTTGTTAAAAGGGTAATGGTAAATTGACATATTTCCGGCTTTATCCTCCCTCTTTTTTCAGTCAAAAAATAACTAACTTCAAGTTGCTGCAAATTTTAAAGGGTTGAGAATTTTTTGAAAAATTTTTACAGTCTTTCCTAACTTATCTTTAAACATTTGTGCCAAATTTCAGCGAATTTGGTGATGCAGGGTGCAACCCCTTATTTTTTGAGATATTTTTAACCGGTAATGGTGCTGCAGATAGGATAATTGCTGTCGCTTGTGCTTTATAAGCAGGAGATCGAGGTTCGAAACGAGCTTTGGACATATTTCGCGTCACGGTAAAAAAGGAGGCGACTTTTTTGTGACGACTCAGATTCTTAAGTATTACAATTTTGTGACAAGGGGGGGGGGGTCAAAATTGGTCAAAAATTACGTGACTTAATTTATGGACGACCCCTAAGATATTGCACTTTAAGGCCATCTGCTATAACGTTATACTATATTATATTATAAGACCATCATATTATAAGACTTATCTCTTATAAGACCATCAATAAATAAAGACTCATATTATACAGATCTTTATTTATGGATGGTCTTATATAGTATATAAAATCTTCTTGACTAATTTACTTTGTTTGTCTAATTTTGAATAATTAGCGAGTATGTTAACTTAGATTTGTTTCTACAAGGAGCATGAAGTTATTAGGGTTATAATTTTTTGGTAAAAAATGATGAAGATATTGTACTTTAAGGCCATCTGCTATAATGTTATACTATATTATATTATAAGACCATCATGTTGTAAGACTTATTTCTTATAAGACCATCAATAAATAAAGACTCATATTATACAGATCTTTATTTATGGATGGTCTTATATAGTATATAAAATCTTCTTGACTAATTTACTTTGTTTGTCTAATTTTGAATAATTAGCGAGTATGTTAACTTAGATTTGTTTCTACAAGGAGCATGAAGTTATTAGGGTTATAATTTTTTGGTAAAAAATGATGAACCTTTGGTAAAAAAGTGACTGAAAATCTTTGGTTTCATTTAATTTTCAAGATCACCTGTCAACTAGATCACCTGTCATTACATCTATAAATCAGTAAAGTTTTCATTTTTTAAAAGTTCATCAGCCTTGGTCTTAAAAAAAACCCAAAAATTTATAAGATTTTATGAATTATATAATTATAAAATAGAATTTTATAATTATATATTTCAATATTTGCAATCATTTTTATCTAGAATATAGTAAATGAAAAAATCATTTTTACAAAATTCTGTTAAAAATTACAATTTTTTTTAAAAAAAAGCAGAAACAGCTTGTTGCTTGTATAGTAAGGGATACCAAAAAGTTATAACCTTTTTGTTTATCTTGCAGTTAACATTTATACATTCAGTTTCCTTTATATTATATAGCAAATGATATATTTTTTAGATTAGAAATTAAAATACAATATGAGATTTAGTATAAATAAATATTTGAGTTGTCTGACTCAACACAAAATATCAAAGATTTCTTTAAAAGTAAGAAATATTTCACAGCACCAAAGTTTTGTTCCAAAAAGTTCAGATGAACTCTATGACTTACATATACAAACCAGTCCTTTGCAAAAAATTATGTTGACTGTTGGATCAGCTTTTGCAGCACTATATAATCCTTATCGTGGTGATATGGTTGCAGCACTTGGTGAAACAACTGGTCATTTGGCTTTACAAAAACTGCATTTACAAATGTTAAATGATGATACTGGATATAGAATATTAAAAGAAAAACCAATAATTGATAGCCATATTTTAGACATCAAAAAGTTACTTTGTTATCCTAAAAATACTCTTGGTTACTGCTATGGAAACTTTATGCATTCTCAAAATTTGTCTGCCGATGATCGTTCTCCTGTTAGATTTGTTGACAATACAGAACTTGCCTATGTTATGAAAAGATATAGACAGATTCATGATTTTTGCCATGTTATTTTAGGTTTTTCAGTTGATGTTTCTGCTGAAATTGTTGTAAAATGGTTTGAATGTTTTCATTTTAATCTTCCAATGGCAGCCTTATCCTCAGTGTTTGGACCTTTAGCATTAAATCAAGTTGAACAAAAAGAATTAATAAATTACATACCTTGGGCAGTTTTTACAGGTATGTCAGCAAAACCTTTTTTAAATGTTTATTTTGAAAAAAACTTGGAAAGAGACATATTTGAGTTAAGAAATGAGTTGCATGTTTATGAGCCTCCAAAAAATGGTTTATTGCATAAATATTGGTAAAAAATTACATCTGAATTGATGAAACAGTGAAAATGATTTTTTTATTGCAACCTTATGATATTATTAGTTGTAAAAGCCCAACCATAAATGTAAATATTTTTATATTAATGCATAAAATTAATAAATATTTTCATTTAGTTTTTTTAATAATTTTTAAATTATATGCTTGAACTTTAATTTATAAATAAAATTGGTGCAACATAAATCAATATAAAAACAATTTGTACAATATAAGTATGATTTTTTTGTAACAGAAAATTGTTATAAAAGCTATTATTTTATCATTATTTTATTATTATCTTGAACTTAGAAAGAGACATAATTAAGTTAAGTAATAAGTTGGATGTTTATGAACTTCTATAAAAATTTTAAATAAAACTTTTATCATACTGCAGTGCGATGACACATGCATCATATTGCAGTATCACTGTTTTTTTGTTTTTTTTGCAGTATAATAATGGTGCATGTTAAATAATTGTTGTTATGGTGTTGATATATATTTACATAGTGTTTTTTATATTTCTTTATTCACTAGTATATTTTGGGTGAGAAGTAATTTGTTTATTTAGGGTGAGAAGTTAGTACTTTTTTCTTTTTTACTTTTTCAAGTTTCTGTTAAGTTTAAATAGTTCATTTGTATATAAAAATATAATAATTGCAATCTTTTGCATGCTATTTGATATGCAAGTAAAGGCTACTTCTTTTAACACTGATTGCACAATAAGCAATTACTTTTAAAATATTACCAAATTTTTTTTCTATAAATGAAACAATGATCACTACTATGAGAAATAAATATTTTATTTTAGAGATAAATTTTTAATGTAAAAGGATTTATTGTTGCACATGAGTTATGTTTTTTTTTATAAGAATTAGGTTACAATAAATCTTATTTTAAAAAAAAAAAAACCTATAGAAATTGATTTTTTAACAGTTAAGAAAGTAAGAATTATTTATGGATGAGGGCATAGTTATAAAAATATTTTTTTTTGCTAAAAGTTATGATCTTGTTGGGAAGAGTGAAGGAGTACTTATTTTAAAAAAATCTGATGCTACATTAGAAGAATTTTTTATTTGCTTAGAAGAATCATATCCTGAATTAAAAGCTATTCATGACAGCTATATTATTGCTCATAATTTAGAATATGTTTCAGATAAAAAAATTAATATAACATTTCAAAAAGGAGACGAAGTTGCTATAATTCCTCCTCTTAGTGGTGGTTAAAAATGTTCAAGACTTATTTAAATGAATTTATGCTTACTTTGACTAAAGAAAAACTTGATGTTGAAACTGCGTTAAAATTTGTTGTTCTGCCGACCACAGGTGGAACTTCTATTTTTGTTGGCACAACGAGAAATAATTTTCAAAATAGAAATGTTGTAACACTGTTTTATGAAGCTTATGAACCAATGGCAAAGAGTGAAATGCTAAAAATATCGCTTGAAGCCCAAAAAAAATTTAATGTAGCAAGGATATGTATAATGCATCGCTTGGGTGAAGTTCCTATAGCAGAATCTAGTATTATTATTGCTTGCTCATCTGAACATAGATCAAATGCAATCAATGCAGTTGAATTTTTAATAAACAAATTAAAATCTAAAGTACCAATATGGAAAAAAGAAATATATGCAGAAGGGGATTTTACTTGGAAAGAAAATCCTGAAGTTTTTTGGAAATGTTAAATTTTTATATTTTATTTTGTATTAATTTTAATTTTTTTTTTCTTATTTTTCTATTTTGTTAAATTTTTTACCAATTAATTTAATTTTTTAGTAAAATGTTTTTGTAGTAAATTGTATTAGCAAGTTACAATATCTGTTATTCAGCCCTCAGAATTAGGAAAAACAAACTTGGCAATAAATTGACAACCTCAAACTCAAACCTCAAACTATAAAAGGTCAGCAAAAAAATCTTGACACAAAGAGATTACCAATAAAACATAGAGAAGAGGTCAACAATTTTTTGCCAACCTCAAACATATTTAGGTCAGCATTGACAAATGCTGACCCTAATTCCGATCCTAATTCCAAGGGCCGGTTATTACTGATTTAGGTCTACAAAATACTAACGTATTCATCACAGTTTAATTTTTTAATTAAAAATTTGATGGTTTGACTTTTTTTGCAGTAAAAAAGTTTTTTTAGCATAGATCAAATTCAAATCCTCAGTTGATTTATGTACTGAAGCTTTTGTAACTTTTTTTCACACCATTCTTTGTTTTTTTCAATTTTTGTGAAAAACCATATGGATTTAGGGTGGCAAAAAAAATCGGTAAATGTATCTATATGCGCTAAAATATAAATTTGTATACAAATGTTAAGTGTTGTTGTTTTTTAATAAATAACTCATTCAAATAGTACCAAAAATAGTCACTTGTAAACATTTTTTTTTTTTTACTTTTTGTAAACATTATTCATTTTCGGTACTATTTGACCTTTTTTTTTTAAAAAAAAAACAACAAAGTTTGTAAGTCTAAATATTGAAAGGGTTTTGTTGCATCCAATGAGAGAAAATGTTTAAAACTTTTTTGTGCTTCACAAGGGTAGGGTCTTACTTATGACTGGGGAATCTGGTGTAACATTTTTTAACTGTAACATTGTTCAACTGTAACATTGTTTTCTTTGCCTTACAACTGTTCATTTTCTGACTCTGAATAGAGTTTAACAGCTTCTATTTATAGTTATATATTTATATTTGTTTGTTTTATACTAATGGCTTTTTGCTGAACATTTTTAAAAGTTTGTTTAATACCTTTAAAAGTAAGTTTATTTAAGCATCCTTTGACATTTTAATTAAATGTTAAAAAAATTAGTTTCGCAAGTACATAAAAGTTTTTTGTTTCAGTATTGTATGCTTATGTAATATGTTTAGTTATAAGAAAGTTTTAATTTTTTCAGATAAAAAGAGCTCTTTGTTAATAAAAGAGGGCTTATCACAGTTTTGTATGTTTAAAGATATTGGTTATTTATTTTGTAATGTTTTTGTATTTAACTTATTATGGTGTTTCATATTGAAATAAATTGACCCAACTGTTTTGTTGTTACTTACTGTTTTTTTTAGATTTGTAATTATGTTTAGTGTAGAAAATAGTTGGGAATGTGACAATGGGCAAAGTAAATTAAATGCTAAACTATTTAGTGGTAATTATATTTGTACAAGTAATAAAAAAGATAATGAAGCTTCTATTGTGCCATCAATCAAAACTAAGCGGTTAAAGAATAAAAGAAAGCGCGATGCTAATGAAACAGTGCTACCCAAATCAAAAAATGAAAAAAAAAAGAAGAAAAGCAATTCAATAGATATTAAAAATAAAAAAGAAGACAATACCTCATGTAGTAAAAATCTTGAAAGTATTCGAAATGTAGAAATTAAAGTCACTGATTACAAGAATATGAATGTTGAAAAAAAGGAGGGAAAAATTGTAAAGATAAACGTCCAAAATGAGGGAAAAATTGTAAAAAAAAACGACCAAAAGGAGGGAAAAGTTGTAAAGCTAAATGACCATAATCTAGCAAAAATATTAAATGAAGCTGATCAAAGTTATGTGAAAATTAATACTTCATTAGTTAAAATAAAGGAGATAAAAAAAGAGAAAAGAAAATTATCAAAAAAAATTAACAAATCCGAAAAAAAGCTGGAGAATGTCACAAACAAAGATCATATCTCTCAAAAACAAAAAGCATCTAAAAAAGATAGTATAAATATTAGTAAATTAGTAAAAAGTGATAACCTTTCAATGAATGAATCAAAAGAAAAAGTCTGTGAAATGGATCCATTTGTAAGCACTTTAAAGACTACTCCAAAATATAATAAGTTTCAAGCAAAATTGAATCGCAAGCTTGACGGGGGGCACTTTCGATGGATAAATGAGCAATTGTATACAAATCATAGTTCAAGTGCTGTAAAGTTGTTTAAATCCAATTGCCAGTTATTTGACTTATATCACAAAGGATTTTCTTCACAGGTTAAGCAGTGGCCACAGAATCCAGTTGATCTAATGATAAAATACATTTTAGAAAGGCATCGAAAATACTAATTTTTTTTTCAAATTATCAATAGATAAAATTTGATATAACCAACACCAATATAGAAATTTTTATACAATTTTGATGCATTTATGTTTTTTAGAGATAAAGATCTGATAGTATGTGATTTTGGATGTGGTGACGCAAAGATAGCTGCTTCAGTGCCAAATGTTGTTCACTCTTTTGACCTTGTTGCAGTGAATAACAGAGTTGTAGCCTGTGATATGAAAAAGGTAAAATAATTTATATTAAAACTATGCAGAGTTGCTAGTCCTTGGCCTTGGCCTGGCCTTAAGGACAAAAATTGAGGCCTTGGCCTTGGTCTTAAAACTGTTGGCCTTGGCCTTGGTTTTGGCATTGAAAATTTTGGTCTTGGCCTTGATTGTCTTGGCCTTGGCCTTAAAAAAACAAACATATTTTCTTATTGGTTTTGTTAAATTCTGCGCATAATCTTGGTCTTTTTTTACAAAATATGGTTTTACTGTGACTGCGCTTGCTACTTACAGTTTTGTTAATAATTGGCCTTAACATAATACAAAAATTGAAGTCTTTGGTCTTGAAAATGTTTGTATAGGGTTGGTCTTGAAACTCCTTTCAAGACCAAGGCCTTGAAACTCCTAATCTTGGCCTTGACCTTAAAACTCTTGGCCTTGACTTTGTCCTTGGCCTTGTAACTTTTGGCCTTGGTCTTGGCTCTGCAATTATGTAATAATTTAATTTTAATTTGTGTAGTATTATTGGTGTAATATATTTTTTTATTACAGTTATTAGATATAAATAAACTTTAAATATTTATTTAAGTATATTATTATATGCTGATCTTGTTATGTTATGAGGTTTTGAAGCATAATGCAAAAGCGTATTAAATGTAAATGTAACTTAACTCAGTGCTTATTTTGTATAAGATTAAATTGCGTCATTAGTGTATTTTAATTTTATAAAATAATTAGGTCTAATTTCAAACCACATTAAAAACCATTTAAACATAACTATAACAAAAATGACCACAAAAAAAACCTAAGTTCAATATTTGAAAAAAAATTGAATAAACTTAGAATCTAAAATAATCATTTATTCATAAATTTTTTATATTAAAAAAAGTTAGATTTTCTAAAATATTTTTTCCTACAGGCCTCATGGTTTATCCTGCAATCCTTTTATAAACAGTTAATCATAAGCACCTATGTAATGGGATGAAAAATTTCTTTGATTTAAATAAACATATATAAACAAAATTTCTTGAATATTTAAAAAATGAACATAAAAAGTAACGTTAAATAAGTATAATGAAAAATTTAAACTTCAAACATTTTCTTTTCCTTAACACAATTTTGGTAATTTTTAAGTAAAAAAAATTATTTAGCAATCTGTTTTTTCTATTCTGAAAATAAATTATTTCAGAATTATGGTGTAAATGTTTTTTACAACAACTAATTAGGTACATAAGAAAAATTTCAAAGTATTTAAATTTTATACTGTTTTATATCAAGAGGGATCAATACAGTATTTTAAAGGTGAAAAAGTTATCAAAGTCAAACAATTTCTTCATATGTTATGACAGTTTAAGTAGGGATTTTTTGATATATAGATTTGTTGAAAAAACTGTGGTCAAAATTAAGTTTTATTTTTTAACAAATAATCATATTCTTCAGTCATAACTTATTCTTATTCTTCTATCAATTCTTATCAAAATACAAATATCTTGATATCAAAAGATTGTTGTAAGAGTGGGCTACAATTTATGTTGACTGCTAACCACTGGGCATATCCAGGGAGGTAGGGGGCAACAAACCACCACCTTTACCATAAGAAATTGAACACTTTTTTCAGAAAAATTATGTTAACAATGAAATGTTAACAATGGAGGTGGGTGTGGTGGTGATTTTCTTCGTGATAGTCCTTGGGCTGATATCTTTTTTCTCTCCGCTTATAAATGCGCCTCCTACAAAATCTCCTGGATCTGGGCAGGTAATAAAGCCTTATTGGGTTTGTAAAAGCTTAAAAAATTCCTTTTTGTTGGTTTTAAGTCAGGTTCTATTTTACTCCATGGTTTTCACCCTTTTTTGCAGCTGCTATATCTAATCATTATCATTTTTTTCATCTTTTTCAAAAGAACAACTCTCTGGAGAACAAACTTTGTTAAATAATAATTTAACAAAGTTAATTTATTATTGCAAGAAATCAATGTAAAAAGTCAGATGCTCAGCTTAATTATTCTCAGGTCACTAAATCTTGTATCTTATCTCAAAAGTTAGGCTCTAGAGACTTTTGGAAAATCTTCAACAGCGTTGTTAACCAAGGTAGGTCTAAAGTTCCATCTCTCATTCATGAGGTTGATCTTATTACCTCTCTGAAGGATAAGGCAGAACTATTTGCAAAGAACTTTTCTTTTAATTTGTTTCTTGGATCTTCTGGCCATTCTCTTCCTTCCATTCCAAATAAACAGGTTAACCCATTGTTATACATTTAAATCACTCCAGCTTCCATTGCTAAAGTCATATCTCGATTAAACTTTTCTACACCTTGTGGTTAAGACAACATTCCTGTGACTGTCTTACAAAATTGTTCTCCAGAACTCTCTTCAATTTTTTCTACTATTTAATAAGTGCTTGACTGAGTCTTGTTTTGCTGAAAAATGGCATTTGTTGTTCCATTTTTTAATAACTCTAGTGAACATTCAGACCCTACCAATTATCATCTAATTAGTCTTCTTTTTGTTATTAGCAAGGTCTTTGATAAACAAATTTCTCACATTCCATCTTGAGTCAAATAATTTTCTGACAGACAATCAACACAGTTTTCAATCCTCTTGCTTTACGGCTGACTTGCTAACTGCTGTGACTAAAAGATTTAATTGTGCATTAGATGGAAATGGCTCTTGACATATCTAATGCTTTTTACAAAGTTTGGCATGCTGGTCTTCTCCATAAGCTTGTTTCATTTCGTGTATCTGGGAAAGTTTTTGAGATTATCAAATTATTTTTTTCTAACTGCTTTATTAAAGTCATCCTTGAAGACTAATACTCATCTTTATTTCCATCAACTTTTTGAGTACCTTAAGGTTCTATCCTTGGTTCTGTTTTGTTTCTTATCTACACTAATGATCTTCTCGATGACCTTACATTTAAAGTAGCACTTTTTGCTGATGATTGCTGATATCAAAACTGATCTTACTTCTGTAACAGATTGGGCAACAAAACTCAATTATTTACTGCTTGCAGTAAATAATTGAGTTTTGTTGCCCAATTGTTTGCAAACAATTATGGCAGTAGTGTCGATGTTCCTATATTAATGAATGGCGACCCTTTCACTGAGTCCTCTTCTTTAGGTCTTGGATTATCGTTTACTACTGACCTAAACTATATATGCAGTTGATTGCTAAATTAGCATCTGCTAAGGTTGCTTCTCTTTATTGTGCTCGCCATTTTCTCTCTCCTGATACCATTCTTTACCTCTACAAATCTCTTATTCATCCCTGTATAGAATACTGTTGTCATATTTGGGCTGGTTCTTCTAATAATACTCTTTCTTTTCTAGACAAGGTCCATAAATGCATTGTAAACATAGTTGGACCTTCCCTATCTGCTAAGCTTGAGCTTCTTTCCCATCGTCGTAAAGTTGCATCTCTTTCTCTTTTCTACAAATTCTATAATGTTCGCTGCTCAAAGAAGCTATTATTTCTAGTTTCATCAACTAAAATTCATTCTTGCTTGACTCCTCATTCACCAAAGTCTCGTTCTTATACTGTATCTGTCCCTACAAGCGATCCCCAACTGCCAAGACAAGTTGTGTTCATATTAAAGAAAATATTAAAAAAAAAACATTTGGGCTAAATTTTTTTGGTTAAAACTTTATAATGAAGGCACAACATTAAATTTAAAATTCAGGTTTTAGTCGAAGCTCGTCGCCTCCATTTTTGGACCTCGGAGTCTGTATAATGTTAGCCGCAATCTGCAGACTTGATAATTTATTCCATGCGTGTTAGTTCATAACAGTTTCGGTACATGACGTCATCGTATAAATTTTTTCTTTCAAGATGTCATATTATATTTTTGCCAAAATCACCAAATCATGTTAATTGTATAACTTTTTACTAAATCAGAAAAAAAGTTTATGATGCAGTTAAAAATTAAATTTATAAAAGTAACAATTTAATATATAACGAATATTTACAGTAAAACGTGCTGGTTTAAACTAAATATAAACTAGATACTAAAAGAATAATTTTACTAAAGCATATAAATTAATTTAAAGTATATACTGAAAAAAAAAACGAGTGACTTGAATAAAACATATAAACTGAACTAAGTAGAAAATGAATATTAAACGACTTATTTTACTAATAATCGTTCAAATCAAACTAAATTAAAGTTAAAACAAATATTTGTACTAAAATATACAAGAAATAGTTATAATATAAATATAAAAACAAAGAATCGCATTAAATGGTTTGCTACCACGCAAACAAAAATCTTTTAACAAAAATCTTTTTGTGGCAACCGCACATTTTTTGAATAACGTTTGAATAGCATAACATTGACAATTAAAATTTGATAATAATAAAGTTTTTAACACGCTTCATTAAACAATAAGAAATGCAAAGTGCTTAAAACTATTGTTTTTGTAAGTAATAACTAAAACATTAAGTTCAAAACAAACCTTATTTAATGAATAAAAATAATATTTTTTCTTCAAAATACTTTGGTAATTACTTAACTAAATACTTCAAACACTTCCACAAGTTAATTTTACAGTGTTTATGCTGTTTTATTTTATAACTAAATTTAAAGTTTTTTTTATGAAGGATTATTCAAGATTTTTTAACTTTGTGATATTTTTTTTATAGTTACACAATTATAGCTCTTATTTTTTCTTGATTATGTAGAGAATTAATTAAACCTTCAAAACAAACAAATTCTGTCTCTAGAATGGAAATTTATGTACTAAGCAAGATAAATTGTAAAGCATACTCAAAAGCCGCTACCAGTGGCTTGCGGTAGTGAAAGAGTTAAACCATAACTAAATGTAAATTAAACATAAAACGAACAACTCTATTGAACCATATAAACTAAATAAAAACAAAAAACTGCATCATACTGCCTTTATTTTTTCTCTGCCTGAGAACTCTAATATTCACAAAATATGTATAATTGTGTCATTTTGGCTGGCTTCTACAACATAAATAAATAAACATAAAACAATAATAAAACAAGTAAAAAAAAAATAATAAATATATATATATATATATATATATATATATATATATATATATATATATATATATATATATATATATATATTTGTATAATTTTTTACTAAATCACAAATATTTTTTGTGATTTAGTAAAAAATTATACAAATATTTAATTTTCTGATTGTAGTAGAAAAAATACTTATATCTTTAAAAAAACAACAACAAAAAAATGCTATCTTAAAAAGATATTGCCATGACATCATATACCAAAACTGTTATGAATTAATACACATTGAATAAATTATCAAGTCTGCAGATTGCGGCTAACATTATACAGACCCCGAGAACCAAAAAAAAATGGATAAGGCGAGCTTCGACTAAAAGGCTAATTTTAATTTTGTTGGTATGCATTCAGTATTTAGTTTCAATCAAAAAAATTTAGCCTAAATGTTTTTTTTAAACATTTTCTTTAGTATGAACACAACTTGTCTTGGCAGTTGGGGATCCCTTTAAAAACTTTTATTTGTCTAGTTTTTTTGTCCCGCATCTCAACCCTTTGGAACTCTCTCCCATATTCATGTTTTCGTGACTTACACAACCTCCAACTTTTTAAGTCAACCTCCAACTTCTGTCAACTGTTTTCTATTTTGTGATTTTCAATGTAAAGTATATTGAACAAGACATAAAAAAGTTATGTTAATTCTAAAGTTTCATTAAAATCTCAATTTTTTATTAAAGAATGTATGTGTGAACAAATTAAATCATATGTTTTTACATTTAATGTTTTGAATAAAGATACTTAATCAAATTTAAGTTTTGAATTTATGTAAGTTAAAACTGTGTTAATCAAAGTTCTGGTGCTTTTTGTTAAAGATTTTGTTGCTAAGGAACACTGATTTTAATTGAAACTCCCAAGAAGTTTGAAACATAGAAGAATGTTTTTTAATAAAGTTTAAATAAGTTAGTTAAAAGGGGTTTATGAAAAGGGGTAGCAGATTTTATTTTATTTTTTTGAATAGCAAAAACTTTTGAGAGTCTTTTAAACTTATTAAATTGCTTATTGACAGCAAAACCCAGAATGAAATATAATAATGAGTGTTCATTGTCGATGAATAAAACAAGATCCAGGACAACCTTGAGACAAACAATAAAAATTAGTTTTTAAGTGATATTTGTTAAAAGACTTTTTAAAAGACATTTCATCCTTCTATTTAGTATACCATTTTATAAGTATTGTCAAGTTCAAAATAGTTTCAGTTTTTGTTCTTTTATTACTTCAAGTTAAGTTATAAATAGAAATTAACAATACAATAAAAAAAATTATTCCTAGAAACATTTTCCTTGTAAAATACAGTACCAATATAAGTAATAAAAACTCGTTTTAGTATTTTTTTTTTTTTTTTTTTCTAATCAGAAATGTCTTTAAGATATGAATCTCTTCAAAGTTTTCATTAAATTTAAGGAAAAATCTCTTATTTAATTGAATGAACGAAAGTTAGCAAATGAAAGATTTAAGTAATAAATTAAGTTGATCATTAGTTTTAATAGAGTAAAAAAAAAAAAAAAAGTTAAAAAGAATTCTATTTTTTCATAGCCTAAAATACAAATATTTTTATTTGGAAAATGAATATGTATATTATTGTTTGAATATGTATTTGGGAATCTAGAATCATTGTATTTGTATTTGATATTTTTAAATCATGATCATCTGAAAATCAAGATAGGATTAAGCAGGTTTTGTGAACTGCAACAATTAAATGTTTAATGTATCACAAAGTTGTTTTCCAATGCATGTGATTGTACTTACATCAAAAACATTTGCATAAATAGAATTGCTTTAAATTCCTTAGTGATTGTTTGCTGTTTGCTAACATTAAAATTAAGAACTGCATGCATAAAAATTTTGTTTGTAAGGATTCATTAAATGATTGTTTCTACAACAAATGCTGCAAAGTATAAAAACTACAAAGATCTGAAGTTTTTCAAGAAATTTTTGACCATCATTAAAATATTTAATTTTACAAACAAGCTGATACCAATGGTAGAAGCTAGATAAAAAGCGTTACGCTATAATCTCAAAAGTTAAAAAGTTTGGAAGTGGTAACAAATTGATTACTCACATTATGAGTACAGAGAAAATTTCACAATACAACCCAGTATCAAGCATAACCAATTTAAATGTTTTAAACAAAATGTTACTGATTCCATGAATCCATGTTTTTTCAATTTGATTATGAAAATAAACAATCAAGCTGCACACTATATACAAAATCAAGTTTCTCTTTTTACTGCAGCAATCTGACAAAAAATAACTTTAAAAAAAGTGTCCTCCTTACTAAGCAATTTGGATAATTTATTGGATCAGTTTCATCTAAGACCCTGGAGATTCACCTTTTCAGTGATAATACTATTTCTTAGTTTAAAAATAAAGTTGTGATGAGCGCAAAGATCCATCCTGAAAAAAAATTAAACTAACAAATATTTTGGCTTTTTTTTTTTTTTTTGCAGTAATAAGTGACAAAGGAGTTATTGATTGCATTGTGACTACTGTTAAGCTTTTAGCATTCAACAAAGTCAGGAAAAATTAAAATCCAATTAGCAAATGATTTTGTGATTTATCTTAAAGACATTAATGCCAAAGTTCTATACTTTTTAGAGTAATAAAAGTTGGTGTGCAATTATGCTCTCAACATTGTTGTCAAGAAAGCAAAAAGGTGAAAGATATCTCTTAACGTTACTACCTTTATATCAATAAGAACCAAATAAAATCAAAAAAGAATTCACCGTAGTGTATGTAAGCATTTTAAACAAATAAAAGAATGAAATGGTTTATTTTTAATCTAAAGTATTTTTTTGAATAAATGAGTTCAAAACATTTGGGATTGGTTTATATTATGTAAACTAAAAAATAAAAACTGCAACATAAATACTACCTGTTGTGTTGGTTTGACAAGGTTCTAACTGATTTTTTTAGAAGAATAGTTTATAAATCTTTTTTTTTTTTCAATGTTCAAGTATTAATGTTTATGTAATGATTATTTTTTTTTATTTATGTATTTTTATATATCAATCAAAAAAAATTACATAAACAAATAAAAAAACAAAATATAAATAGTTTTAATTAAACATTAAAAAAGAAAAAAATTAAATGATTTTTTTCTAAATTCTCCTAATATAAAAAATTTTGGTTAGAACTTTGTCAAACACAACATACTATTTTTAAACAACAAATGCCACAACTAATGGTTGTTATTAAACTCTTTTTTTTTAAAACATTTTTACAAATTTAAATATATTTATATTTTAAAATAAAATTTCCTCTTGAAGTGACTATTTAACTAACATTAAATGTATTTTAAATAAAAAAGAAGAATTAATGTTTTCCAGGCTTCTTCATGGGCATATCCAATTGCCTACAATCTGTTGTTGAAATTTGACTAAAAAAAGGAGAAACACATGCCATTAAATCATTAAACACATGTGAACAATTTTGCACATTATCAGCCAGTTAAAGTACGTGATGGCTGCACATGAGTTTACTGAACTTACTAGTAATCTATTATAAGCTTGACTATTTGTTATTCTGACAAACAATAATCTGGTTTTCTATATATTATCAGCTCACTTGCATTTTTTGTTGCTGAGATATGAGCTGATTTTGAAGAAAGTTATCTTAAATAATTGGGTGGATTTGCAGTTTTTTCCATTTTTCTAATAAGAAATCACAACATTAAATTTAAAATTTTTTATACAATTCACAATGTTAAATTAAACTTTGTTACAATTTTTCAATCAATTTTTTGAAGTTGTCAAGTTTAACAAAATTGACAAAATAACCTAAAATAACAAATCAGTTTTTTACTAATAATTGTCAAATCTTGCAAAAAAAATATTGTTTGTTATTATTTAAATATTATTCATAACAACACCTTTCAGTTATGGTCATGTATATTAAACTCCTAAGTAACAGGGTATGAAGAAATTTTTAATGATATTCAAAAGTTCTATTATATAGGTTCCTCTCAAAAATGAAACCATTGATATTGCTATATTCTGTTTGTCATTGATGGGAACCAATTTGGAGGACTTCATTCTTGAAGCGCATCGTGTTCTAAAATATGGGTAGAGAGAAAATTACTTTTGTTTTTTGAACAATTTTTTTTTAAAGAAATACATATAGTTATAAATGATAAAAATTATTATTACAATATTACTAGTTTTATATTTCAACCAGAATTAATAAAGCCTGCTGGTGGTAAAGTAACGTTCTGCCAAGAGACCAACCTTTTTGGGAAGCAGAAGCCGTTGGTAGCAGTATTCCAAAAAAAAATTTTTAGATGAGATGTTCTGGCTTCCGCCTCCAGTGGATTCTGCCTCCCAATCAGCAGCTACCTTTTTTTTTTAAGTTGCTACCAATAGGGAAGCAGACACCATTAGTGGTTGTCTACTAGAAGATATTTCAGAGGTAAGACAGTTCGAAGGCCGTCTTCAGTGGCTTCTGTCTTCTGATTAGCTGTTGCCGTTGGAGGAGGAATTTTTATCTTCCATCGCTAAAAAAAATAAAAATATTTTCATGTTTTTTTTTAAATTAACTTGCAATTTAAATATTAGTTAGGATAATTCATGTTTTTCACATTTAGTTTAATGAATTTATGAGTTAGAGGTGCCCTAAAGGGTATAACAAATTGATCTACTGCATTATAAAAATAACATTCTGTCATTTGTGTATGCATACTTATCATTCAGTATCGACTGCAATTGACTAAAAAATATATGACCTTTCATTTTGATCTTTTGCTCTGACCTCTGGTTTACTGTGTATTGAGTGGCTTTTGAATGTTTTAAAAAATGTATTTTATGGATTGGTCGCCCAATCTGCTATCTTTTTTGTGATCATGTTGTATTTTGTCAATACTTTTGATTAAATAGTATTGACAAAATACTATGTCACAAAATAAAAACCATAAAAAACATTTTTACGAGTAGAGTAAAAATCTCATAACATTTAAAATTTAAATTAAATTTTTAATGTTAATTTTTAATGTTATGAGATTTTTCATTCGCGCATTTCATTTTCAATTCTGGCGTAAAAAAATTTTACTTTCAAAAAAAGTCAATTCAAACCGACATCAAAATAAATTAATTTTTTTAAATTTTAATGAATATTAAAATATATATATATTTAATTATTTTTACAATATCTAATGAATAAAGTTAGGAGTTTAATGTTATAGTCGAAAAATGAAAGTTCCAGCATGATTGGTGGGCGACAAAATATCAAACTTAAATTAAAAAACTGACATTAATCATTTACTATTAACTTTTTTTATCAAAAGTTTCGCCTATGGTATGTGTTAATAAAATTTTCAGTTTTTGAATTTTATTTTGAATAATGAAACATTTAATTTATTCGATAGATTTAGAAAAAAACACTGAGAAAAATATAATTTTTTTTTAACAGTCAAAGTTTGGCAATAAATTATAAAAAATCCAACTTCAATGTCTAATATTTGCACCTTCATTTTTAAATTGCTTGTTAATTCAAAATCAAACGTTAAAATTTTTTTTATTTTTTTCGGCGGCGCAAGGCAAATATTCCACTTCCATGTTGGCGGCCGCAGCCAGTTGGGAGGCAAAAGCCACTGGTGGTGACCTTCCAAAAAAATTCTGGCGGCTGTCGCCAATTGGGACACAAAATTAAAAACATTTTGCCTTCAAACATATTTTTGGATGGCAGCCTCTTATCGCTGCGAAAGAAAAGTGGAGGAAAAAGGTTTCTGCCGTTTATCAACTCTGATTTCAACTAAATACTTGTTATTTATTTCAATCATTTTTTTTATTCAATATTTATTTCAATCATTTATTTCAATCATTTTTTATTAAATGATGTTTTTGAACTTACTTTGGCTTTTTACACACAATAAGTTTAAAAACATTTTTTTTTCACAAATCAAAATATTTTTGCCATGATATAAACTAACAGGCATGTGGCAAGTTATATTAACGTCCCCCGATTAGGAACCCAGCGTTTTGAAGGTGTTTTGAAAATTTGATTACAGATAAGGGTTCTTATAAAGTGGGCACCCAACCTTCTAGCTGCAGCTCTGAAATTAAAAACTAACTTTTCTCAGATTGTGCCAATAAGGAAATATGATTAAATAAGTTTAAGGACGAAACATAGTTACAGATGCCAAATGCCATAATTTTTTATCATTAAAAATTATTTTTTAAAAATTAAATCTTTAATTTAGAGGAATCCTAAAAATTGCTGAAGTAAAAAGTCGATGCGAAAATATTGATTTATTTGCAGAGAATATTTGTGCTGCTGGATTTAAGTTGATATCAAAGGTAAATTTTAAAAGTAAATTTTGTTATTCTAATTATTCTGTTGCTATTTTTTTCATTGAAGGAGTAAATGCATAATTTAAAAAAAGTGCACACTAAACGTTTTAAGATACACTTCGCGTGTTGTAATTCGAAGAGTTTATCTTTACGTTAAGGTTTATCAGGAAGAATCTTCGTGATGAACCTTAATCTTTGTCTTCGATAGTAGTTGAAGACAAAAATTAGATGTTTCTACTAATTTATATATATATATATATATATATATTAGGGTGGGTCATAAAATTTTTTTTTCTTGTTACAGGCTCTAAACATTGCTAATAGTTAATATTGATACTATCAAATATGAGAATGATTGTGATCGATTTAAAGGGCGCAACTTTATTGGGAAAATTACTTGTACCCTAATATTTTGGAGAAAAAAAGTTTTTCAAAAGTCGGTCAACCTGGTACTCAAAAGAAGCGAGATTTTTTAAAAAAATTCGAAAATAATCGTTTTATAAAAATCATATTGCCGAAAAAAATTGTTATTAAAAAAATGTAAAAATGCACTTTTTTCATTTTAGTTAAAAAACTATAGTTATTGTGCAATAAAATCTAAAATAACAATTTTTATATGAAAAAATTATTATTTTTTAAATTTTTATAAAATTTCGCTTTATTTGAGTACCTACATCACATAATTTTGAAAAACTTTTTTTTTGAATAATAATAGGGCCTGCTAATTTTTGTAATTATAGTTGCAGGTGGAAGACATTGTTCAATCCATAAAAATAAATAATTTCCTAAATTAGTACATAAAAAAACATCTTTCTATACCATAGCCAGGTTAGCAACTCTAATATATATATATATATCTGTGTGTGTATTTTTACCTTCAAATCGAGAAAATAAATTCCGCAAAAATTTTTTAGCTAAATAGTTATTTATAAATATATTAAAGTATTTCTGTAAAAAAGCAAATGAAAATCCTCAAAATGGTAAATTTTAAAATAAACTTGTAATTGAAAATTTAATAAAATTCTTTATTGTTTAGCTGGGTATAAAACAGTAGGTTCTTAAGAACCAAGAGGGAAACAAAAAGATGCTATATGTTGAAAAAATTAATTTGTTTAAATAAATTTTTTAACAGGACGATTCTAACAAAATGTTTGTAATGATCGAGCTTGAAAAGACCGCGTCACGGCCAACAAGAAACTTGGTTATTAAACTTAATCCGTGTATTTATAAAAAAAGATAAATATTGTTAACAATTTCCTTCTTAAATATAAATATAAGACACGTATATGCAAATTCTGATTTTCTTTGGTTTTTTAATTGGTTATTTTGAGCCAATGCGCAGTGAGCCAGATAATTGAAGCACATTAGACAAAAATAATTATTTTTATCATGTGTCTGATATTAGTTATATTTTATGTAATAATTTAAAAATCAAGTAGTTTATTTGTTTGAAGAAAGTATATAGGAATAGCAGATTTTAATATTTTTATCTAAATAAGCGTTTAAAATAAAACACCAAAACAAAACTAAACTAAGATTAATTAAAGTATCTTATATGAACAATGCAGCTCTATATAAGAAACTTATATAAACAGCTCTTAATAGAACTGATCCCAAACTGTGCATTTGATCGAAACAAGAACTAATATAATTTTTAAAACTCCTTTACTAATAATATTATTTAATTTAAGTACATATTTTTCTTTTTTTTATTATTTTTAATGTTTGCTTTTATTAAAAACATTAACCTCTGACTGCTAAGTTAAAAGTTACGTAAACAAAGAATTCTTATTTTGGTATTAACTTATCTTTTTCTAGGTTAAACCCTTTCAAGAGTTTCTTAAAAAATCGCTTTTATGACTTAACTAATTAGGTATTCAGTAACTTGAAACGCAACTAACTTCAATATTAAAAAAATTTTTTTTTACAAAACTTAAATAACTTGGTTATTCCTAGGTATTTTGGTGCATTATGTGATTATGCTTCAGCAGCTCACTAAAGAGCTCCGCAAATGCGCACTACTGCATGTGACGGTCCTTCGTTGTACCTAGTTGTTTAGGTTCTTTTTAAATGTTATAGTATTAATATAAATGTTATTTAAAAAAAAAAGCTGAGCTGGATCAATAGTAGTTAAATTATAAGAACCAGATGGAGACTTGACCAAACTTATGTCTGACATTTTGGAATCTTTTCCTTTTTTTTTTTGTAATATCGCATAAACTTTATTTTTCAAAATAAATTTTTTTGTTAAACTAAATCGTAATTATAAAAAAGCATCAGAAGGTATCAAATTTGGGAATACATAAAATTTTATTAAAAGAATGGTAATATTTGGCTCTAAAGGTGTTAGATGAATAAAATATTAATATTTTGTTCATTTAATCAAAAATATATATTTTTTTGAAAAATAGTTTTGCCTCAACAAATGATATACTTTCAGCATTTCTTATGATGCTTTCTGCATACCGCTTTACTGTTGCGAATTTTTCTTTGAAAAAAATGTTTAAGAGCTCCTTAAGAAAAAATTATCTGAAAAAAAATATTAAGTAATATTTAATTGAAAGAATTACTCACCACCGGAAAAAATTATTCATCAACCATAAAGGACGGCTGCAGGCTATGGTATTTACCAAATATTGATACGGAATATATTTGAAATGATTTTTATATATTAAGGTTTATTATTAATCGGTTGAATGCTTTTCATTCGTCAATAATCCGTTTCTTTGTTGGATTGTGGTCACTAGCATCTTCAGTTTGCAAACTTATACAAAAAAATTTTGAACGGTAAAAAAAAACTGTTTAAAGTTAACTGACGTCACTTGTTGAATGGCTTCTTTTCTTTTGACTCTGATCATAGCGTTCTCTACCACAGGCCTATTTATCGCGCAACCGGATTTTTTTGTGGAGGTCTACTTTTTTACGGCAAAAAATTATTTCTCCACATACAATGTCATGTCGTTTATGATATATATTTAAATAATGAAATATAATACAATGTTAATAAACTTATATAATTTAAACATGGAGTTTCAGATTCAATTCAAAGCGAATAATATATTTATAAAATTTAGATTAAATCATCATGCCAAATAAATCATTTATTTTCATGATGATTTATTCTAAATTTTACCGGTTTTTACATCCATTTAAAACAATCATGACAACCATTTAAAACAACCATGACATTCATTTAAAACACCGCGACAATCAATTAAAACAATGTGATTTTCAACTAAAACAATCGCGACTTTCAATTAAAACATTTAACGCATGCGCAATCTCAACATTCTATATTATTTTTAAAAAAAGGTTTTATTTATATACTTATTTATTTAAATTTTTTTTTTTTGATATCATATTAATTTATTTTAATTTAATGCAATTTATTTTAATATTAAACGGATGACATATTTAAATGGATGCGAAACCCGGTAAACGTGTGTACGCCTTACTTAGAAAATACACTGAGAGGTTTGATGTTGAGAGATATCTATTCTATATAGAGGAATGGCGTCACAGCAAAACATACGAGCAACGAGATATTAAAGAAAAAGAAGTAAAATTGTCCAAACGGATATTCGAACCACGGCCTTTCGAGTATGAAGAGAACGCCTTACCCAAAGTACCTAAACGCGCAGTTACTGACTCAGACAAAATAAACATTATATAATAAAAAGGTGTTGATTATCATGGATGTTTTAAATGAACGTTTTGGTTGTTTTACCAATAAGATAAGGCCATGTAAAAATGTGTACCTAAACGGCATGGAATAATTGAAGCTTAATAAATATGTATACATGTGTGTACGCCTTACCGGGCTTTTCATCCATTTAAAACAAGTATGGCATCCGTTTAATATTAAAATAAATTGCATTAAATTAAAATAAATTAATATGATATTAATAAAAAATAAATTTAAATAAATAAGTATATAAATAAAACCTTTTTTTTTAAATAAATTAGAATGTTGAGGTTGCGCATGCGTTAAATGTTTTAATTGAAAGTCACGATTGTTTCACATTGTTTTAATTGATTGTCGCGGTGTTTTAAATGAATGTCATGGTTGTTTTAAATGGTTGTCATGATTGTTTTAAATGGATGTAAAAACCGGTATAAATGTATTATTCGCTTTGAATATTTGAACTGATATTTTATTAACTTCACTAGATATTTTGTTTATTTCATTTTGATAGTTGGTGTGACAAACATACACACAACATTTATTATAAATGTTGTGTGTATGATTGTCACCAACTATCAAAGTGAAAAAAACAAAATATCTAGTGAGGTTAATAAAATATCAGTGTATCGGTTTCCAAGTGATAACATTGAGTTTGAAAAATGGATAAAAGCTATTCCAAACTCTAATTTGGTTGTTACCAAGTATACTGTTATCTGTGAGTTACACTGGCCTCCAAATTTTGATACAGATATAGTGCGTGGAGGAAAACGTCAACCAAAAAATCCTTCTTCTGTTTGGCTGGGAATACCTTTATCTTGAATTCCAATTGCTAATCCAACTGAAAGAACTACCGATAGATCTTTAAGTGGCATTAGAAGTACATTAGATGTTGAGCTAGATACATTTCTTAAAAGCGATAAAGCTACTTTTTGTGAAATTAAAAACAAGTTTCGTAGCAATGATCACCAATATCCAGTTATCGTTTATGATTGATGGCTATGTTGTTATACAATCTTTGCAATTTTTTAATGGAATACCTTTTTTTGTACTTAAAATTTATGAAAATCTTACCTTTGAAACATTTATGCGGTAGTGGTGTAGTGGTAGAGCGCTCGCTTCATAAACGAGTGGTTCTGAGTTCGATCCCCACCACGTCCCTGGGAGTACCGCGCTCAACTCGTTTCTCCGCGCAGCGGCCTTGTTCTTCAAGGTTCGTGTTTCGGAGTTATAGAGTTGAGAGAGGGTTATAGCCACAAAATAAGTAGCCTCCTCGTCTGTAGTGGCCTTCTCGGCCTTGAGGAGGTGAAGTTAAATAAAAAAA